AACAATAAGAAATTATTATAATCAATGATGCAGTCAAATGAATAATAACAATGACGACTCAAGAACTTTAATGATAAATGCTTTGAGTGCAGGGTGGACTGTCTTGGCAAACTGACTTCATCAGAAAAGAAGCTTTCCTTTGAAAACCAAGCTTGCGCACTTTCAACTTCATTAACAGCTAGATAACTGATGGACATGTAGCTCACAATCACAGCTTCAACCAACTTACCTGTACCTTAGATATTGACTTACTCTTTAACCCTTTACTCCCTAAGAGTGCAAATTGGCACACAACATCATAACTTTGTGAATATTTGATAGATTTCTACGAATTTTTGCCACAAAAATTGTCTTGTGAAGATCTGCTCATTGAAGTCATAAAATTTTGACCCCCTCCTATCCAACACATGGTTGACCACCCCCGCAAGTTTTTAGTTCCTTTTTTTGGATGCAAATGGAATGCAAGACTTTTTTTCATATCAAGCTACACATTGTATGCACCAAGAGCTGCTGAATAAGCTGTATTTTAGGGGTATACCTAATATAGTAGAAGATTGATACATTTTTGAAGTCGTTCATTTTCCCATTTTAAAGCAATTTCTCTCAAAATGTGTACGTCCTTCATACATGTAGCTGCTGATGTAAATTCTTGGCTTTCAAATGGCATGTTGTACACAGGCAGAGTGTCTTTATTTGCCGATTTGGGAAAAACTGCCATTCGCCATAGGGGGTAAAGGGTTAAGACTGTCTCGTATTCATTAAAATATAAAACATATTTGTACAAATAATACCACTTCAACCTGGATTAATAGACACTGAAATGTTGTGTTGAAAAATTTCCGCCACCAGAAATCAAGACTGTTGAACTGAAATGTCAGACTACCTAATATCTTTGTTGTGAAACTTCTTCACCACCGTCTTGGAATTATGATCAGGTAAAAATTTTATTAAATTGGAGTTTTTTGAGTAAATGGTAAATGGCCAATCTGAACGAAACTTACCATCAAGATTTTTGCTTACCATTTGCACAAATCGTTGACAAGCCGATTTTTCTGTGTAAATGATAAACAACCCACATTTTAATTCCAGAATGCCATGATCAAGATATTATGCACTTGAATATCATAACACAATAATATGTATTTATTGGACTACAAGTGGGACAAGCCTCAATAGAAATCCAAGGGACTATGTTATAGCTAGCAATATATAAAGTGAATGGCCAGTTATATCAGTGTACATGCATATTTATCTGCATCCACTCAATCTTCCCACTGTGCATTCCACCAAAATAACAAAATAGGCTAAATATAATGCATATAATATAGATATATATTCAACTTTAATTTCGTCCTGTATTTTTTGTAACATGGTATATGTGTAAAACAGTTACACAAGCTCTCTCAAGGATTACCGACAAATGTTACACTAATTACTTGCATTTTCTTTTTAATAAAATACCATACATAAAATGTAACAAGCAAACAGTGAAAATAAGACTTTCACTTCCTATAGAGAACGCAACATTTGCTAAACAAATGAACACAAATGCTTGACAACAGAACACACAGAACAATACTATATTTTCCTACTCGATTGTACAGCAAATGATTCATTTACCCAACCATCCAGTCAATTGTAAGCCTGCTGATAGCTAAGATACATGTCAGGAGGAAGCTTGGCGCTTATTGATGTGCCACCAACTTTAATAAACACCGTGATACACAATGAACACTTAAATAATTTCATGGCTAAGAGCATGAATGAGTTGTCTCATAGAGTCCTTTGATTGAATATGCAGGTAGTGTAACTTGTAATTTGTAATGGAAGTAGTTAAGTAAAACTGTAAACTGTTATAAACTCTACTGTTTTAGTTATTCCTTGGAATTTACTGAACAGATACTCTAAACATAGCATGTACAGCTGTCATTTTATATGGCTAATTTCTTTTATTTAATATCAAGCTTGAGAAAGAAGTATGGTACAGTATATTCAATGAAAGTGGGCAGTTTTAAACTTGTAGTCGCTGAAGATGCTGATTCTGTGAAAGAAGTGCTGGTAAAGAGATCTGCTGATTATGCTGGGAGACCTCCATTTCACTCCTTCCAGCTGGCCTCACTTGGTACAGTATGTCTACAATACTATTACTCTCTCACTCTCTTACTTCCTACCTCTCCCCTGGGAGAATAAGGCCAATCTCTACATACACCGCACTGAATTTAAACTGCAATTTCTTAGAACTGGGAAAAGATATGAACCATTAGGACTAGTGATTGATTGAATCCTTGTCTTTCAGACTCACTTTGTGACACGCGAAAGCGTTAAAAAAGGACTTACATTGTACATGTTGTAAGTGTTCATTTGGCCTTACCGGATAACGTTTGTCTTTTTAAATAGAGCATTTCTGAGTTGCATTTTGTCTCTGTGTCAAAACAAGTCTCTGTTTGATAGGGTTTGGTTACAAGTAAACAGAGTGATATTGGGGATGCTCATCAGAACATTTGAATTAAGCCCCTCAAGCAGACCAATCTGGGTGTGGCTCGAGTTTTATTTGACTGCTGAAAGATATCACTGAAAATGAAAACGATAGCGGTGTTTTTATTATTATTACCTTGACGGCTCACTACAAGTGAAACCAAAATCTGTGATGTACACTTCTAAGCGAAACGACGAGCACGCTCCACCATGTTTCGACGGATCCACCAAGGTTATCATTTAGATACCGGAAACCCACCAACATACATCAGTTAAGCAAAATCTCAAATGTTTCTACTATGATGTGCTGGTTATTATAATTCTGGGAGGTTTTCCACCCCCCTTGGGCCCACTTGATACTTATTGGATCAGCCTTCTTCATCTGACAAACTCTTTATTAACCTTTCAATACAATTTCATTCCTGCATTACAGGTGGAAAAGATATCATAATAGGAAACTATGGTCCTGCTTGGAAGTTTCACCGTAAACTGTTCATGGCAGCTATCCGGCAATATCTCTCCGATCAGCAACTTGTCGAAGAAAGGATTTTTGAGCAGGCGGGGCGGTTGCTGCAGTACTTTGAAGACCAAAATGGAAAAGATTTTGACCCTGCATGTATTCTGATGGAGAGCGTTGCAAATGTGATTGGTCGAATCACATTTGGGAAATACTTTGATTCGTCCCATCCAGACTTCGAGGAACTTTTACAATTAAACATCAAAGGCTTTACTGACACTAAAACAAATACACAGAACTTTGTTTTAGATTTCTTTCCAGCTGCAAAATACTTTCCATTTCCAAGTTATCAATCGGTGCAGAAACTGATGGGCCGAATATTTGAAATTCTTCGCCATCAATTAAAGATCCAGGAGAACGACTTTGACCCTACAGCGAAGATTGATAGCCTCACTGGAAGTCTATTAAAAGAGAGGATTGCAGCTGAGAATGAGGTTGGCTCTGAAGACAAAGCGTCTATTTTGTCGGATGAAAGTGTTATCAACACCATGGAAGACATGTTCGGCGCTGGTTATGAGACAACCAGTACCACCCTGCGTTGGGCCATTGCATACCTTGTTCACCATCCCCATTGCCAAACAGAGATACAAAACCAGTTAGATGAAGTGGTTGGAAGGGACCGAATGCCTGGACTGGGTGATCGTCCGCATCTTCCGCTTCTTCAGGCCACAATCATGGAGGCACTGCGTCTTGGAAATGTGGCTGAAGCAGCTCTTCCCCATTACACGATGAAGGACACCTCGCTTGCTGGATACCGTGTTCCAAAGGATACAGTAGTGTTGGTACATTTGATGAACGTTCATCTGGATCCAAACTTCTGGGAGAATCCCAACTCGTTCAACCCTCACCGCCATATTGATGCTGATGGCCAGCTCATCACCAACTCTGGTAACTTTCTGCCTTTCTCGGCAGGACGCCGGGTTTG